TTTTGCCAGTTTTACTGATTTTACAATATTAACTAAAAAAACCTTGTAGTGTTTTTTTCACAAAATTATTTCCTCCTCCTTTCTTGTCAGAGGATAATACACCCTGCCCTACCATCTTCACAGCTGGCTTACTGCTCTAACCTGCAAAAATGTGGGCAAAAGATGCACACCACCAAGGGCAGAAACCTTTCTTTCATTTTTCAAGTACTGGAGGTTGAACCCAGCACCTTCACACTGAACTATACCCTCAGCTCTTTAAAACTTATATTTTTATTTTACTTATAATTTTTTTTTGAGTGCACTATGTAACCCAGGCTTTCCTTGAATCCAAGACGCTATTTCTGCCTCAGCCTCCCAAGAGCTAGGATTACAGGCATGCACCACCACGTGTCGTTCCCCAGCCCTTTATCAAAGTTGTAAATTTTTAAATTTTGAGATAGGGTCTCAGAGGTCAGTTGCTAAATTGCCCAGGTGGGGCTCGCACTTATGATACTCCTGCCTCAGCCTCCTAGCCTGTTGAAGCTTTCAAATCTCTTTATCTATTTTGGAATAAGAAGATTCATGTAGTATACAGTGAACAAAGTCATGCTAGTCAGTCTCTCCTTTTTGTGTTTTCTCTTTGCAATTAGCAAATAAACAGTGGGACAATATCACAGCATTTGGGGAATATCATGTTTCCCAGAAATCTTATAATAATTGCTCTAGTATCCATTAGTGATCCTTGCTTCAATCAATTATCCTCTAGACATTTACAAAAAGCTTCCTTTCTAAGCCTGCTCTTCCGTATTTTAAAATGATCAGCATTATTTTGCAATAACTTTCTTTCATCAACTGGGGTTGAACTATATATATTCCACAAAAGCATCAAGCCAAATCCCTAGTCTCTGCCCTATAACAACTAACTTTCAGAGTAAGAGGCTAGTGTAATCGTCAACTCCAATTGCAACTGCAGCAGATGGGCCTTTGCTTTCTCTGAGTATTATTATGGGGTTGTAGTTATTTATTCACTTTTTATTTAAATTTTGAGACAGGGTCTCAGACGTCAAGTTGCCAAGTTGCCCTGGCTGGGCTCAAACTTATGATGGTCCTGTCTCAGCCTCCTAGACTGTTGAGATTACAAGCATGTGCCTTCTCAATGTATTCTTGTGTATGCGTGTTGTGCTGGTGTTTGTTTTTTTTTTTTTTGTTTTGTGTTACTGAGATTGAAGCCATGGTCTTAGCGTTGAGCTACATCAACCCTTTTGTAAAACTTATTTTTTGAGACCAGGAGTGGTGGCACATGCCTGCAATCCAAGTACACTCAGGAGGCTGAGGCAGGATGGCCATGAGTTTGAGGCTAACCTGGGCTACATAATACATAGTGATTTCAAGACCAGCCTGAAGCCTGAATTCAAATATATATCGATAGACAGATATAGATAGACACAGATATAGACACAGATGTAGATCACTGAGTCACAAGGTTGCCCAAACTGGGCTTAGATTTTTCATCCTCCTGACTCAGGCTCCCAGAATGCTAAGACTACAGGCCTCTGCCTATAGCCTATAGTTGTCCTTATTGATTTTCAAACTATCTCAGGTTGCACCGGGGGAGCCTCTTCAAGTTGGCTCATCTTCTCACAGAGCCTCAGACAGACCCTCATTACTGTCAGCACTTATTTTCTCACTGGTGCAACATGATGTCGTTAGCTCACCTTGAATTTTTCTTGACAGAACCCAAAACTGGCCATTTCGCCAAGGAACTTATTTAGTGGAAAATAGGATTTAGAAATTAAGAACTAGATGCTTATTACAATAACAGTGTCATTTCTTCTCTGCCCAACAAACTTGGGAAGCACATGTTTTAAAATTAAGAGTTCATGCTGATAAAATTTAAAATTGACCTAAAGTTCCATGAAAGTGGCACATGCCTGTAGTCCCAGCTACTCAGGAGGCTAAGGCAGGCAACAGAGCAAGACCCTGTCTCAATATAAAGCCAATAGCAATACAGTGTACTCTCGATTTATGAACACAATTCATTTGCAATGGCAAGTTGCAAGTCAAGTTGGTTGTAAGTCAAGACTATTTTCCCATAAGAAATAATGGAAACACCCATAATGCATCATGAGGCTCTTAAAGTACTCTTTAACTAGATTTTTCTCAATAAAAGGGTTGTATAATGTACATAATTACCAGAAATAACAGTAATTTTCCTAGTGTATTCACTAAAAAGTTATAAAATGTACCTAGTTTACCAGAAACAACTTCATACTCTATTCACCATTCAACTTGACATCTTTGGTTTGCAGGAAAGTGGTTATTGTTTAGAAAGAGAACCCTCTTCCATAAGAGCATCAGGAATCTGATTCTTTGGTGTCCTTCCTCTCCTTGGAAAAGTGTAGCCTCCTAAGACCTGCTTCTGGCTCACTAGGCCTCAACCTTTTCGAAACCAAAAATTGGTCTAAGGTTGTGTTTTTTACTTTACCACTATTCTGTAATATGATGTGACACTGTCATTAAGCTTAAGTGAGTTAATGCAATGTTTTTATCTCTGTCTGTGTAGGTCTTCTCTATAAACATTTGTAGCTCTATTTTTCTTAGGATTTCCCTTATTTCAGAAGAACTCTGCTGCACTGATTGTTGATTCTCCCCTTAGAAAGTCCAGAAAGCTCTTTAGCTGCTCTTCTCTGTTGCTCAGCAAGAAGTTGCAGAAGTTCCACTGTACAATTCCTCTGTACACAATTCCTGTTCCTCCACCAGTGTTCCTTAACATCACCATCTACCTAGAAGCCTATGGACTCTGCTATACAACAATGTCATCAGCCACAGGGTCAACTGAAGGGTCAGGCTCTTCAAAGTGTCTCTCCTGTGTCATTTTAGGCCATACTTCTTCCAGGCATGTCTCAGTGTCCTTAGAAAGGCATTGTCCCAGTATTTCTCAATCCCACACAGGAAAGGATGTTGTAATGTTCTTCAGAACACTTTAAAGAAAAAAATATATATAATATATATACATATGTATATACATACATACATACCTGAGATCATCTGGAAGCACTTCAGGGACAGTTTCTTGGCATATAGTGTCTTAAAGTTAGCTATACCTTGTTGGTCCATAGGCTGAGGCTGCAGTACAGGTGGGAGAAACTCAACTGAAAGCCATGAGAATTCTTCAGCCAGTTAGTTCTTCCAAATCTTGTGGGTGAGCAGGAGCATTGTCCATAATGAGAGGCTTGAGTGGTAAACCTTTGTCCTTTATAGATATTTCTTAACAACAGGACAGAAGCCGCCCCGATCCACTTCAAAAAAAGTACTCTTGTTACCCAGGTTTTGCATTAGATTCCCCAAATGACCCCTAGTTTATTCTGCATGACTCTATGTTACCTCTTAACACTCTAAGAGGCTTACAGTGATGAACCAAGAGACTTGATCTTGAGGTCACCACTCCCATTGTCACACAGCAATATGTTAGCCTGTCCTTCACAGGGTTGTGGCTTGGCGTTTTTTCTCTTCTTGGGTAATGTATGCTGTCCCAGGCATTTTTTTTTTTCCCAAAAGGGTCAGTTTCACTACAGTTGAAAACCTGATGAGAACAAAAGCTATTTCTCTGTGTCATCATTTCAAAGTGATACATGTAATTTTCAGCAACCTTTTAATCAGCACTAGCTGCTTCATTATGCCCATGAACACCAGTTCTCACTTTAAAATTGTGATACTACCTCTTACTGGCACAAATGTTTCACCATTATCACTCATTAGTGGATCTACATTATAACCCTAGCTTTTTCACAAATTATAGGCTCAGATAGACTATAACCTGTCATCTGCCTTTCCTTCATTCCCAATAATAGCCTGTCTCACTTAACACTGTTGAGTGTAACTTACTAAGTTTAGTAACAACTTTAACAACATTAGCTTCCATATACAAATCTTTTCTCTTTTGTAGAGATGGTGGAGTTTGACATGATGTACATATTAGCGAGATCGTCACACAAGCACCACTCTCATATTTCTCTATAATTTGCTGCTTCTTTTTCACTGTGATTGCATTACCTACTCTTCCTTCCTTAGCTTCTTTTTTAACTTTTCTAGGGGCCTTTTTGATAGCAGTAATAGTAGCAATTATTAAAAAACTGATAAAAATCATCTCCAAAAACGCATCTAGGTTCAGACTGGTACTTACCTATGCTTACATATGTTTTTCCAGGGTGCAAAGTCTGTTTACAACAGCAGAAGCAACTGGCATTTAGGTAACAACTCAAGACTTTGTTTATTAAGTTAAACCTAAAATTCTGATTTCAACCCAAGTTGCTTGTGAGGCCGGTCATAATTCAAGGGTTCACTGTAAATGAAGCATCTAATGAATGTAGGGTTCCTAGAGTAGATAGGATTTGATTGTCTCTTGGTTAGCTTGAAGAGAAAGGGCTGAAGAAGCTGAGTAGTATTAACTTAAAGCTGCCTTCAAGAAGAAAGGAAAGATGACATATTGGTACACTTATGACTGTGTGTACATACCAGAAGTTAACCTAAAGTATGCGAAGTTAGGAGTTGATCATGGTTCACCACATACCTTCCATATTGTTTACTGCATTTTTAAGGATAAAAAAAGTAAGTGGGTAATAAAGTTTGAGTCACATAAATGTGAGGATTGTATAGTTACTATTTTATACTAGCAATAAATAGGTGTATCATTGCCTATAACGTTGGAACATAATATACCCATACGTCAGAATATTAAGGATTTATTTTTCGTCTAGAATTGCACTTTGTACTAACCAATGACCTTAGAAAACAATCCAGTTCCTTGGAAAAAATATAAAAACTGTACAAGTAAATGATTTTGAACTTACATGCTCCCTCATTGAGTTTATACACAGACAGAGAATGGCGCCTGGAAGGAATCAGAAAAACACTTGATAATTCGGTTTACCCATATTTTCTACAATGAGTTAATCTTATTTAGAAACAGGGAAAAAAAAACCAAAAAAACACTTTCAAACTTGGTCAGAAAAGAAAGTTTACAAGCCCTGAGGGAAACTTTGTTCAAGAACGGGAGGAAAAAAAGAGAGGTAGTTAGAAAAATGGTCCTCCTTTGTTTTGGAGAACACCGAGCAAGATAAGCAAAAGCCACAGAGCTGACGACTTCCACCACGGCTAGAGCGGCCGAAGAGAAGCAGGAACTTCCGGGGCGGGGCGTCCTAGCCCTCGCCCTTCCGGCTGCATGTGGGCTTTCGGCTCTCATAAGGTTCGGTATTGCTTAGCCCCCACTTCCCTCGCTCTGAGCCGGTGCCTGAGGGCGGGAGTACTCATGGCCAAAAGCAAATTTGAGTACGTGCGGAGCTTCGAGGCTGACGACACCTGCCTTCCTCACTGCTGGGTGGTAGTGAGGCTGGACGGCAGGAACTTCCATCGGTGAGCTTGCGGGGCGGGGCACCGCGTCTTGCGCCGGCGCTTCCGGGGTCCGGCGCTTTGGCGCAGCCGCTTTCTGGTTGCCCGAGCAACACGGCAGCCAATGGGCGCTCGGCATTGAGCGTCCTGCTGCCCGGGGCTGTGCCTGGGCTTGCGAGCCAGATAGTCAGGGTCGTTAGAAGGTGCGGTGTGCACTGCTGCTGAGGAGCTGCTGGAGGGCCCCACGGAAAGGAGCAGGGACCAGACTGCAAGGACCTGGGGTCGATAGAGGATGGGGAGAACCGCGCTATTCTGATGTCTTTGGGTGGTGTTTCAAGGCCTGTGTAGGCCTTGCAATGAATAACAACGTACAGGATGCCCTCATTTCATTGCCGGCAACAGGCCACGTAGAACGGACTCTAGAAAAATAACAGAACAATAGGAATTTATTTTTTCAAAGGGCTACTACTAATAGCCATTGAGCACTTAATAGGAATCTGGCATAATTACCTTTTCGAATGTTCCCTTAGTCTTCAGGACAGCCCAGTGAGGTAAATGTGTCCCCACTTCACAGGAAAAAAAAAAAACAAAACAAGCCTGAGATGTAGCAATTATGTCCCTTCAGAATAAGAGAGTAAGAAACCACATTTCTGAAGGAAATGGATTAGGTTGTAGCCCGTAGATGCACTATTACAGTGTCTTCCTCTTAGAATCACCTCAGTGGCCTGTGCTGACAGCGACACTTTTCTGCCGCACCCTTTTCTCGTTGCTCATTGCAGCTTTGCTGAGAAGCACAACTTTGCAAAACCGAATGACAGCCGCGCTCTCCACCTCATGACCAAATGTGCGCAGACCGTGATGGAAGAGCTGGAAGATGTTGCGATTGCATACGGGCAGAGCGACGAATACAGCTTTGTGTTCAAGCCGAAGAGCAACTGGTTTAAAAGAAGAGCCAGGTAGCCCTGTGGCCGCTTCCTTTCCTCAGAATATTTCCCGCCAGCATCTGCGCTTCTCTGCGTCCTGGCCTACAGACCAGAGCTGATGTCTGCGGCACGTGCAGCTGCGGAGTGAGCACCCAGTTCCGGTGTGGACTGCGTTCCTCGCGTCTCACACCTGAGCATTCCGTCTACTTTCTTTGAGCTCATTCTTGTCCTTTAGTGCCTCGTCAGCTTAGCTTCTAGACTAACCTAGCGGTGAACATTTAGGATAGAAACAAACCATAAAAATGTAACCTGGATGACTCATACGTTGGCTTTAGCCTTGTCAGTCACTACCTTCACTGCAGTGTTATTTAAACTTTTACTGAAGGAAGGTCTCAGTATGGAAGCAGAGAAATCTGATGCTTAATTTGGCAATATTTTGAAATTCTCAATAGCACACAAAGGATATATTAGTGTGTTTCTAGAGCAGTGGCTTCCCTCCTTCTGAGACTAACAGTAATACAGAAACAAAACAACCAAAAAGTTCTTGAATCATAAATTTATATCACATCCTACAGACAAATATGCGGTGTTAGCAAGAAACGAGACTGGAAGGTTAAAATGTATGACTAAGACATTAAAGTAGTTTTTCTTAGCCAAATGTATCCTATCCCTTGGCTTTCTGGGAAGTTTGTGTAGCCTCTGTTGTACCCACAGACCTTATCATGGCGTTGAATTAATTTCAGACATTTTCCTTCTCTTCTTCCACAAAATGTGTTTTTCGTTTGCAAGCAAGTTCATGACTCACGTGGCCTCCCAGTTCGCCTCCAGCTATGTGTTTTATTGGCGGGATTATTTTGAGGATCAGCCCCTTCTGTATCCCCCAGGCTTTGATGGAAGAGTTGTGTTATATCCTAGCAACCAGACCTTGAAGGACTACCTCAGCTGGCGGCAAGCAGACTGTAAGTGGCACCAAAGAAATAGATTTAAACCACAAGTTCTGTGACTTAAAAGTTGTCAGTCATACATAGGTTTCCTAGTGTGTTTGAAATGCAATATTGTTTAACAGTTTTAATTAAAATTATTTGAAAATTTGGGAGATCCACATCAAAAATAGTTTTAAACAAAAATCAGAGAGGTGTCAGTACAGAGTCTGGATTCTCACTTGGTGTCAGACGTGGCGCTGCCCACAGAAAGCTGTCCCACGCAGTTTGTACCATACCCTGTTGTTCCCTGGGTGGCATGCTGCTTTACACGTTTCTGTTCATGTGGCCTCATTAGGTATTTGTGTTGTGGCCCCTGCCTTACGTGGCTGCGATGGTGCTTGTGTGCCTTTTACTTATATGGTATATTTCGATTTTGCCAGAATAAATGAAAAAGAGATTGGAATAATTTAAATCAAATAACTCTGAAAGTACTTCTAAAATTAGCACCTGAGTTAACAGATTTATGTAGAATGTAAATGAAATGAAGGACTAAAGTTGTTTTTTCCTGCCTACGCCTTCCTCTTTGTTTTCTGTGTAGGCTACTGATTAAATCATTGTCTCTGAGATTTTTAGGGAAAAGCAGGACTCCTGAAAGCCTGACTGTTGAGCAGAGGTTCTGTGTTTGTAAACTTTACTAACTTGTTCTCTTCACAGGTCACATCAATAATCTTTATAATACAGTTTACTGGACACTTATACAACGATCTGGATTAACCCCCACACAAGCCCAAGAGAGATTAAAGGTATGAGGAGTTTACTGCTTAGCTGGGGACAGATTACTGTAATGTCTCCCTGGACATTTTTCTAATGGCCCTTTTATGTTCATCTTTAGCTCCCTTTACAGTTTGATTTTGAAAAAACAAAAAACTCTTGGTAACTGCTCGGCTGCTTACGTGCCTCAGTGAGTCAGTGTTCTTGGCTGGAAAGTGGGTCCCCTGGCACTGGCTCTGCATCCCACCTGCTGGTACTTGGGTGCAGCTGTGTCTTGTGTGTCCTCCTTACACTGGGCCTGGGCTCTCCTTGTCGCTCCAGGTCTCTGTCCTGTTTCTTGGCTGTAGAAGCCCTGTGTATACTAAGAGTCGGTGCTCTTTCTGGAGGTCAGGTGAAAATACTCGATCAGGCATCTGTTTCATTGTTTTACTGTCTGCCTTGGTTCTTTATAAGTAAAGTGTAGAAAGCAGTAGTTGCTACCTCATAGGTGTATGGTGGGCATTTAATGGCATGATGCATGGAAAACATGGAAGTAGGAAATACATGCTAAGTGCTCAGTAAATACTGGTGTTGCTTATAGAAAATGTGCTACTTGGGGCATGATCTGCAGTGAGGTAACATGCAATAAATAGCCCCTAGTACGATACCTGGTTAGTTGGTGTTCACATTATTAGGGGTGCTAAGGATGAAGATGCACATAGCAGTGGAAACACCCGGTTTGGAAAAGCTGAGTTTATATTTTGGTTCTTAGTAGAAAGATAAAGACTCCTTTCAACCCTGGGCATTTTGTATAATCTTCCTAAGCTTCCGTTTTCTTATCTTTAAAATGGAGGTAGTATCATGATAAAATAAGAAAAATGAATATAAAATGTATGTGCATACTAGATATTTAATTGCTATTCCTTCAGCCTCCTCACAGCCTGAACAGTAGGCCAACGGTTGCTGCAGAAGAGAGTTTTGTGAATGTGGATATTAAAATACGATCCAAATTGCTTAAAATGGCAATTCCATAGTATAAGATGCTAGGTAGCACCCTTCCCCGTCTGTGGTCTGCACCATGTAGGTAGGACAGGCAGGTGGCATTCAGGTGTCATGTGAAGCTTTTTATATCTATTGTTGTTTCCTCAGGGAACTCTGGCAGCAGACAAGAATGAGATTTTGTTTTCTCAATTCAGTATCAACTACAACAACGAGCCGCTGATGTACAGAAAAGGGACTGTGTTGATTTGGCAGAAGGTAATCCTATTATGTTCCAGAAAAGTGGGATCAGGCGGGGAAAGGGAGCCTGTGTCCACTCCAAGCTCTGCCCTGCTCGCTGCTAGGACTCCATTTGCTAATGTGGGCTAGATCCCTGCAAAAGGCTTAGTTTGGATGCAAATTGGGAGCCACTTGTAGTCTAGAATTCCCCATCGCATAGATGTAAATAGTATAGACTTTTAAATTCAGCACCCTTCTTTTTTTCTGTGTCATAAGCTCTCATCATATCAAGGACATCCTTTTTTAAACCTGGTACAGTAAAGACACGAGGACTTATGCATTCATAGAGCACTGGCAAATGCTTTCTCCCACGCCGGAGGATATCATTGCATGGTTTGTCTATCTGGGCCAACTAACTTGAAGCCCCAAGAGATGTTCGGTGTAAGCGCTTGTCACTTTCCAAAGTCCCATCCACATTTGCCCTAATAGTCTGTGATGAGCATTTACCTAACTCCTTAAACCAAAATTTTCTCTCTCACCAGCTTTTGGTTTACTTATTTTTTAAAATTCATTGTCTTCTGTATTTTTCTGAAATGAGTGTGTACACGCATTGAAGGGTATGTTAAGAGCTCGGCATCCCACTGGCAGCTCCAGCTCTCATTTGTACCATATTTTCAAAACACATTTGTTCTTTGGCACAGACTCGGATACTTGTTAAAGCAGGTGGGAGAAGAGCCATATTTCTAATTCTATGCTCTTCGCTAAGGAGGAACATAAAATCCCTTTCGTGTTCCTCAGATCACTTGTTTCTTCATTGAGATAGGACCTCGCTATGCCTTGAATTCATTTGGGCTACTTTTGGTCCCCCTGCCTCAGCCTCCAGAACGCTGGGATTGCAGGCACGCGCCGCCGTGCCTGGCTCCAAGCTCACTTTTCAGACTCTAGTAACATAACCTTTAACGTGCTTGTAACTGTAAGGAGGTCGGTGTATGCTGAAAATCTGACAGAAGTAGATAACAGCAAGCTTCCCCCACACCTTCCCCTTCCCCGCAAGCCCACTGTCACGTTGACAATGTCGCCACTCTTAACCTTTAGGTGGATGAAGTCACGACAAAAGAAGTTAAGCTGCCAGCAGAAATGGAAGGAAGAACCATGGCGGTGACGCGGACGAGCATGAAGCCAGTGCCGCTGCACTGCGATATCATCGGCGATGCTTTCTGGAAGGAGCACCCAGAGATCCTCGAAGGAAACAGCTGACAATTCTGGCGTGCGCAGCCGTGCGAGGACACCTGGGTCTCTTCTTCTCAGGACCCTCGCCTTCCTGCCATCCAGAACACTGTGCTGGGGTGACACGACCCCAGGAGGAGGGAGCGGGGAGGGCACGTAGAAAGGGTGATGCCTTCTGCTTGCGCTGGCTGGCAGAGCACGACTCCTTTGGGGTTTTTCTTTCTAATCGTGGCGCTATTTTTATAAAGCAAGGACTATTTCCTGCCTTGCAGGATGAGTCATTTTTAGATTGTGACATAAGTCCTATAAAAGCCTGTCAGCGCTCTTCATCTACGATAGAAGGAGCCCAAACTTTACTCTCCCACCTGCTCCTCCCTGGAGAAGCCAGCGATTCTGAAAAGCCTCGTGTCTGCCAGCCATCTGCTTGCTGTCACCTTTGGCAGACCCAGAGATAAATAGGGGTTCGCACCTGGGTGATGCCTCTGAATTCACCAATTTCAGGGGAAGACTTGGGGCTTTGTGTCAGTCTCCACGTTTCCAACTTTGGCTAACCAATGAGCAGTGGTTTGAATATCCTTTGTGAACACACTCCACGCGTTGCTGTTACGGAGTTTTCTGCATGGTAATGTCATCTTGACAGGGCCAGAGTGTCCAAAGGCACTTGCGTCGTCTTTCCAGGCAGAGGTGGATGTCCGCATGAGAGAAAGATGTGTAAAGATGAACGGATGAAGGTGCAGACACACTTACTCTTTTTTCTTTTTTTTTTGCGGTACTGGGGATTGAACTCGGGACCCTGCGCTTGCCAGGCAAGCACTTATTCTGCTGAGCTACCTCCCCAGTCCTCTCCGTCCTCTGTAGTACTTGTTTTAAGGCAAGTGCTGTCTTCTCACTGGACTTTGTGAAGAAGATTAAGTCGCCTATATAGAATCAGAACAATGAAATTTGAATTCAAGAGCAGCAGGGTCAAATGCCCCTGGGATCCCAGGTGGCAGATGTCAGTGCAGTCAACAGCCCCACGTGCCTGTAGGCCAATAGAGATTGGAGAGGACCGCAGTGTTAAGTGTTAATCTCATGTTGCCAGTCTGTTGGGGCCTGATACGGGAGGTCATGGGCTTGGGGTGAGATAACCCCATTTCCTTCTGTCCTTGTTCCATATTTTAAAGGGAAGGGATTATTTGGTTTTATTAAGAATCACTTAAGAGACAGCCCACGTCCCCATGCCTGGTCTTGCATTGCACAATTTATAGCCAAGAAGAAAACATATCTTTCAGAGAGCAGCGGCTCATCCTTCACTAATTGACACCCCATCTGTTGATGCCATTTTTTTCCTTCCTGTTTCCCCCCACTCCACAGGAAGAGGAGATACAGCGTGGGCTGCTAATTGCTGAAATCTCTTGGAGAAAATAAGCGTTTCAACTTTCTTGGGCCTCCTTATTTATTTCATAATGCAAATACAGTATGCATTTGTGTCTGTCTTTGGGTGAGCCACGATGCACATACCCTCATCAACACAGGCTCACGCACTTACAGACTGAAAAGAACAACTTGGAATCTGCATTTGAAGTGCCCATTTGGGGCTTAGCAGTCCGGTTTACCCCAGAGGCTTTGGGCTTCCCATACAAATGGTTGACACACTTTACAACTCTGGGCAAACAAGGACCTCAGGGTACTGCTAGGCTAGATAAGCAGGAAAATAATGTAGTTTTTCTTTCTTTCTTTTTTTTTTTTTTTTTTTTTCACAACCGGGGATTGAATTCAGGCCCCTATGCTTGCCAGGCAAGTGCTTAATCTACTGAGCTATCTCCCAGCCCCCTAATAATGTAGTTCTTGATTGGCAAATTTGCTTAATGGCAAATTGATAGCATTTTATATCTAATATGTGCAGGCAAGTAGGCACTAAACCACAAAGTCTCAGGACAAAGCCACCCAGAGTAAATGTGTGCTTTCTCTTGATATCACGAGACACCATAAAGCCTGTTCTGTTTGTCCTAAGGCGAGACTCATCTGCTGAATTCCCCGTGGCTCTGGAGCTTTGAATTTTTTTCAGACAGGGTTTCAAATGGAGTAATAAACAAGGTTTAATACCAGTTCCACAAGTAATCTAGTACATTACCTAGAAGTTCCTGCTTGGTGATTTTTATCTTTGCGAAGTTGTGCATTCTGGTGTCTAATTCACTGTTGCGTATTAATTTTTAGCTAGCTTGCTTGCTGAGGTACTCTATAGTATTCTCTTGGTCTTTTCCAAATTGTAAGGAAACAAGCACACAAAAACCAACCAATGGGGTCGGCCAGATAGCTCGGTGGACTAACGCGCCTGCATAGGCGGAGCTGGGGACTGGGTTTCGACTGCGATTGAGACTGAGTGTGGTAGCCTGCACGTGTAATCCCAGGGCTTGGGAAGCAGAAAACAGGAGGATCACTATGAGTCCGATCTGTAGTGAGACCCTGCAGACCCTGTACTAAATACATTTTTTTTAAAAAAAATGTAGTTTATGCTGGTTAACAGTTGGGAGAGTGGTGGCAGTCCAGAAAATGACTTTTGTGGTTTGTGAGTGACTGGGTACATCTTGGCCCTATTGAATAAGGACTGTATCTAGAGGAAACCCATTTTAACATCCCAAAACAAGTGTTTTGCCAAACTGAGACCACAAAGTAAAAATGAACAGATCTGATCTTGTGCATCCTCAGCTCTTCCAGTGCTTTAGCAGTGATCAGAAAACAGTAATTTTTTTTTTCTTGACGCTAACGTCTCTCCATCGTTCGTACAAATTTCTTTATTCTTAGGTAAAGGAAATAAGGTTGCTGCGGAAAAGCCCAGATAGGCCAAACTCTTTTGAGCCCGGGAAGGCTGCGCCTATCCCTCCCCCAGCAGTACTCCGGGAGAAAGCAAGTTGGGGCCCTCCTGGCCCTTTTCCCGCCCTCTCCTTTCAGTTCAAGCTTGGATTAGGTTGCAGCCCCGTGAAAGGGCAAACGCCAAGGATGTTAACCTGCCAATCTGGGATCCACCCGGGGATTCTGGGGTATCAGCACGCTAAGAGGTAACAATACCGACGGGAAAGCCTGCGTTAGAGCCCACGAAGCACCTGCCCGGGTCGCAGCCACGCCCCCACCCCGCAGGAGCCCAGCGCGGGCCGATGCTGCCCCCCGGCGGCCGCGCCCCGCAGTGCGACCCGCGCCGCGGCTGCGCAGTGCCGCCCTCTGGCGGCCCGCGGCTTCCTCCCATCGGCCTCGGCTTGCGGGCCTTTCAAACATGGAGGAGCGGGAGCGGGGGGCGAGGTCGGCTCGCGCCGGGAGCCCCGCGAGCCCGCCCAGCCCGCGGTTGGATGTCAGCTCTGACAGCTTCGACCCGCTGCTGGCGCTCTACGCGCCGCGCCTGCCGCCCATCCCCTACCCCAACGCGCCCTGCTTCAACAACCTGGCCGCCTACGAGAGCTTCCTCCGGACCGGCTC